AAGTCTGAACCAAGTTGCGGCTTTGGCTGTGTTCATAGGGTGTAAGAGCCCAGCGATTGATTCGGTGGTCACCAGGCTGGAGCAGAGCGCGGAGGTCTCCAAGTGCACTGTACCAGTCTACCAGATGCAGAGCAGCGAGCGGTATTTCCTCTGGCCAAGGGCGGATCGGGCTATGGGCTAGGGAGGGCCCAGGCCCACACTCAAAAAATAATTACTACTTGAAGGCCCATACTCGTATGTATATTTTGTTGCATAGAAGTGTATAAAAATAAGAAACGTCTAAATCAACACTGGTGGCTTGGGTGAGATGTATATTGGCCTGCGCTTCTACTTGAATGACATGGGTTCGATCCCCATGCGGATCAAAGTTTTTCAATTTATTAGTTAGGGGAATACATGGTATTTTACAAATTTCATTTGTTCCCCCTCAAAATCTCTTTTTCCATTTCAAACATTTGTTTCAATCAATTTGTACAACTTTAACGGCCTTTTTATTCGAATATTACTAAAATGAATGAAAAAGACAACAATGTAACATGTTTTAAATTTTCTCATAAATGTGACTAACAATCTTTTATTCCTTTTATTTAATTACAAATTCATTATTTCAATATATCTTTTATATAATTAATTGATTACAATAGTTGCACCCACCAGCACCTCCCTGAACGCCAACCCCAGCACTGCCGCCATCGGCACTGGCACCGCCGGCAGCGGCACTGCCACCGCCGTCTGAGTGACTCCGGCCAAAGTGACTCCGGCCAACGTGATTGTCGCCAAAGTGACTGCCGTCAAAGTGACTGCCGTCAAAGTGACTGCCGCCTCCCCTCATCAGTGACTGCCGCCAACTCCGGCCAGTGCTGCTGTCACAAGCTTAACCGTACACCACCACCAGCGCCACCGCTGGCCACTGCTGCCGACCACCACCGTCAACGACCAGTAACCACGCAACAGTAACCAACCGGACACATTACCCTATCACATCTCCTGCGGCCACCACCTTCCAATGCCGCCAGCAACATACGGCCACCGCCGCCATTACCGGCCTTCATCTCCAGCTTCCGGCCACCACCGCCCCTATCTAGCGCTCTCTCCAGTCCCCTTTACACTGTCAAACCTTGCGCTCTCCCCTGCAATATCATCCCCATTCCAGATCTGGAATGTTAAAGATGGCGACGAAGCCCCAAAATCGAACAAATCGAACAGATTAAGAAGAAAATGACGAAGAAGAAGGTGTTAATCCCCTAAACCAGCCACCGCACCACCTCCTGAAGCTCACGCGGCGATGTTGAATATCGGCGGAGACGCGACTTGCGATGATGACAGAGACGACAACTTGAAGGTGGGGGTCAGCAACCTGGGGTGATGGCGGTGCGATGATCTTCGGTGGATGCTTCACTTCACGGAGATGGAGAGACGTTGTTTGGGGATTGGAGATCGAATGATGGGAGGGGAAGATGAAGAGAGTAGATTGGGGAAGATGGGATGCGGTGGATACAGTCACATTTTTGGGAAAATGTAAAACTTGTATTTTTTTGGAAATGGAATGTCCTATAGTGATAGGCGTGCCATTTTTTCCAATAATTTTAGTATAGACTAGAAGTTAAAGAAAATCAGTTTTATTCGGTTTCCGAGAACTTTACCTAAAAATTGATACCAACATAGGGTTTTAATGATTTTATTGCTTTAAGACTTTAATGACTTTGGCTTTATTCTTTCATTCTTTCAGCTTTTAGGCTTTCAGATTATGTCTTATATAATTTTAATTTTTATATTCATGTTTACATTTAATTTGACAATACCAATCCAAAAATTTAAAGTATAGTTGTAAATTTGAGGTGCTTTTGTTCTATTTGACTTTGACAAATTTTTATATTCTTGTAATATTTATTTTTTCTTTGACACTTTTGTTGAACAAATGTTATTTTATATCCGAAAATAAATTTTGTTAAATGCATACTTCGTATTACATTTACTGCATTATATATATATACAATTAAATTTTGGCCCATGTTTAAAAAAACATTAAGTTTGGCCCCACCTGAATGTCAATGCTGGATCTGCCCCTGCCTCTGGCGTCCATGCGAGTAGCCTAATTGACGATGGCGCCAGTATCCCAAATCAACCCTAAACACGTACACATTTTATGTTCCTCCATTTAGAGTATATTCAGCACAAAATGTAGGACGAAACTTTCCCATTGGTTTATCTCCCTCCCGCTCCTTTCCTCAATAACACTTAATAAACGTGGTATTATAGTACGGACCTTAAAATGAGAGGCTTTTACTCGATTTAAGGCGAGCTAAGCTTCATTCTCTCAGGTTTGGGCAAAAGACCTTCCTTATATGTGGCTGCATAAGCTATCCCGCTACTTTCCCCAAAACTCTATGTGTAGCTTAGGTATATAAAATAGGTCGACGGGGTGAGGCAGTATGTTTGGTTCGCTGCATGGTTGCAAGGGGTACAAGGGGTGGGGAATTCTCCATGCAGGTCATACGTTTTTAAACAAGAAATTTGCTATAGGTACCCCATAGTTACCTCATTCCCTACCCCATATAAATACTCTCCTTTTTTTACCATCCCTTTTACCTCTTTCCAAAACCCTCTCCCCCTCCCCCACTTTTATTCTCCTTCCCTCCCCCTCTCCTCCATCTTTTCTTTTCACGCAGCCCCCCCCCCCCCCCCCCAATCCCCTCCCCTTTCTTCCTCTTTTCTCCAAATCTTGATTTCTTCTCCATTTCAAGATCTCTCCCCATCAAGTCTTCTCATTTTTACAATCTTTTCTCCTTCCAAGCTTCTTCTCCTGCTTCTCTCCTCTTTTGCCTTTTTTTCCGTTTCAAATGGAAGAGCTACAGTAATCGGACGAAGGGGAGAGCTCGGTGACGTGGGGAGACAACGGCGAAAGTGCAGATCAAGAAGCTTCGAATGACTTGAGCAGATCTACTTTTCTTGATTTTTTCATTTTTCGGTGTGTTTTCGAAAAAAAGGGTTGTCTTTCCTGACAGACAACTTGTAAGTGCAGTGTCTGTATTTGTTAGTCTAGGAGAAGAGTATGTTGTTTTTCGTCATTTGTTTGTATTTTGTTTGGCAGACAGACAATTTGGAACTGCATTGTCTGTCTAGCATAAAGTGAACGTGGTTTCATAGTTGCTTGAAGTGAACGGGGTTTTATAGTTGTTAGAGTCGTACATAAAATGTGTGTGTGGTCAGACAACTTTACATGTATGTGATTTTGTTTGGAAACATGATTGTATTGGTAATGTAGTTTTTATATAAATGTGTGTGCCTTTTTTTGAAACATGGTTGTATCCATAATGTGAAGACAAATGTGGTGAATGAATTACATATGTAGTCTTTACAAGGAGAAGAGTAGGTTTTCCTGTTAGAATAAGGACTACTCTCTGTCTTACAGCCAGACAAATTTTGTCTTGGCCAGACATTAGTAGTCTGGGACAATTAACTACTCTCTGTCCTACAGCCAGACAAATTTTATCTTGGCCAGACATTGGTAGTCTGGGCCAATTAAGTACTCTTTGTCATATAGCCAAACAAATTTTGTCTTGGCCAGACTTAGTAGTCTGAGCCACATTCTCCCGACTTGTAGACAGACAACTCAGAAGAAAGGCCAGACATTTTATATCTCATTATAGACAATTTGTTGCAATACATTGGTAGAGAAGTCATTTCCCATGACAGAAAACTACAACCCAATTTTAATGAATTCCAAACAACGTGCAAGACAATTCAAATGGGTTGCCTGAGAACTAATTTTACCTGACAGACAACTACAAAACTATTTTCTACAATTTAAAATAAACTGACACACAATTCAAATGTCTTGCCAGACAACTACTTTCACATGACAGACAACTACAAACCAATTTTAAACAATTGGATTTAACATACCAGACAACTAATATGCCTTGCCAGACAACTACTTTCACATGACAGACAACTACAAACCAATTTTAAACAATTGGATTTAACGTACAAGACAACTAATATGCCTTGCCAGACAACTACTTTCACATGACAGACAACTATAAACCAATTTTAAACAATTCAAAATAAATTGACAGACAACTCCAAACCAATTACATAATATTCAAAATACCATGACAGACATCTCAATATCATCACAGAGTAGTCTAAATATACACAAGTACTTCATAATTTCACCAGACAGACAACTATTTTCACATTACAGACCAATCAAATGGAATGCCAGACAACTCTTTTCACTAGAATTTGAAGCTAACATATCTGAACCAAAGCTAACAGATCTGAACCATCATAGGTATGTTTCGAAGTTATAGTCGCTGGAATTTGAAGGTTTTGAACTGAAATTACAGGTTGGTGGAGAAGGTGTGGAAGGTTTTAATTAAATCTGGCTGGCACTGAAATTACTGGGACAACGGTCAGGTGTCGCCGGAGAAGATTACTGGCTTGCCGGGCATCAGTTCCGCCTGCCGTTACGTAGTCCGACTACTGTTAGATCTCCGCTCCTGCTACCTTATCATTGCCGCTGGGGGTCGCCGGGGCCTGACGCCTGACGGGGGTTTGGGTGGTGTCCGGCTGGGTTTTCCAACTTCCCACCGGAGCTGCTTGGGTGTTCGCCGGAACCAAGCAAGGGGGGCTTAATTGAGGGCAATGAAAGGGAGATGAAAGGGAGAGGGGCTGGCTGGAAAAGAGGGAGATGAAAGGGAGATAAGGGGGGAGGAAGATGAGGGAGTGGGGGTAAATTTTTGGGAGGGTATTTATATGAGGTAGGAAATGGGGTAAGTATGGGGTACCTATAGCAAATTTCTTTAAACAAATCGGAAATTAATTTGCATGGTCAATATGTCTTCTAGGACATGTGTGCTTGGAGACCTTTCTACGTGGAGGAAGCTGCAGGTCATTTTTATGTTTGGTTGGAATGGATCTTTAATTAGTGGGGATGGGTCCCACATGCTCTAGATTTAGGCTATTTTGCAATTGAGAGTAAAGTATGTACGTATATATGTTGTGCTTAGCTATTTAAAGTATTGGTTTATCTCCCTCCCACTCCTTTCCTCTCCTTTCCTCTCTGATAGGCCAATTAATCCTATTTATCTGAAATCGTGGATTCCTATTGTCGGTTGAGTAGATCTAAACGAGGTATGCTTTTCATTTGACATCTTCCCATGGATATGACTTCTGTTTCTATGTTGATAATATATCACACTTTTTAGTATAGAGAGCTTTTGTACTTCATACAAATTATGCCCCAAATGATTATATTCACAAGATCCATAGATCGAGATAATTTTTCACTTGAATTTTAGTAGCTCTCGCAAGTAAGTATCCAATTACTTATCATATGTATTCTTGTGCTCCGTATATACATGACCTGCTTGGGTAATCGCTAGGCGACTCTTTAATTTTACTGAACTTAAAAAGACATAGAGCTTTAGGTCTAAGAAGCTTTCTATACAATTGTGAGATAACACTTAATTTGATTTCTATTTTTAGATATATAAAAGATCAAAGTGATGTAGACAGATGGTTGATGAAGATAACGATGTTATGTGCTTTACGCCTTTACTCCCAGGTGTTTGTTCAAAGAATTGTTTTAGTATGAAAATGAAGTACCTATTCACAGATTTGCAACTATTTTGGATTGGAAGGGTTTATTTTACCGTTTTTATGAAACGGAAATCTTTCTTTTTCCTAATAGCTGAGTTATTATGATTTATTTTCATATGAATCCCTTGTTCTTTGCAGAACTCTATTAATACAACTTATTGTGGTTCATTTTGGTTTAGTCTGATGATGGCTTCATTGTTGTCCTACTTGCTCTATTATTTCATTTCTTGGTGCAGGTTTTGTTTAGTTAATTATTGCTTGCAAAGGGATTTCATTCCTTCTTAGAGAATGCATATAAAGAAGGACTGAGTAAGGAGCAACCATAAGCTTTTTATATTATGGATATGGATTGTTTGGTTGAGAGGGTTTCAAATGGGAGGAAAGGAGAGGTGATATTTTATCTTCACTTCAACCAGACTTGACAGTGAAGTAGCTCTAGATATAGTTCTATAGTCATATCTCATATAAAACTAATACAACTTTGTAATCCTGGATCTCAACTTCTTGAATATTTTTAATTAGTGACTTGCAGGGATACTATGGCTGGCTTGGCTGCTATGTTTTTGCAAATGTAATGGGAATTGTATTTAACCATTCTTTCTGACATAAATAATTTGATTTAATTATCAAAATAGGATTAAGAGTCATTCACTTTGCACAAATAGGACCAAAAAATGAACTATGTTTCCATAGAACTAATTATGTGTGTCTTAGACAAATATACCCTTATACCTATTGGAATGTTTTAATTCATAATAAAATAATAAAAAATAATAAAAATTCGTAAAATATACCAAAAAATTAATACAAATATTTTGAATAATAATAAATTTAAAAAAAAAATAAAAAATAAAAAAATAAAAAAATTAATTTTTTTTGTCACCGTCGCCTCTGCCGCCCCAGCACCACCACCTCTAGTCATTTGGGGAAAAAATGCCAAATTTATTATGAATTACATATTTTTGGCATAATTCAGAATGATTTAAGATGGAAGAAAAAAATGTTGGCATTGTCAAAGAGAAATATGCCATTTTTTTGGTATTTTCCGAAAAAATGGAAGTTTGTAGGAAATATGACATTTTTTTAACGGTCGGAGGTGGTGATGCAGGGAGGCGGTACCACCACCTCCTGTCACCGGGGTAAAAAATGCCAAAAAAATTATGAATGCCATATTTTTGGCAAAAGTCAAAAGGATTCAAGTTGGCAGAATGAAAATGTTGGCATTCTCATAGAGAAATATGCCATTTTTGTGGAATTTAAAAAAAGTGGCATTTTTACACCGATCGGAGGTGGTGGTTTAGGCGGTGGGAAAGGTATCCATATTTTTTTTAATTTTTTTATGGAGTTTTACTATTTTTTATTAATTTTCAAAAAAGAATTAAATTTTTTTTTCTTATTTTTTATTTTATAAAAATTTTATTATATTTTTTATTATTTTTCTACGAATTATTGAAATTTTTTCGAATTTATTATGAATTAAACATTTAATTATGACTTTTAGCTATCTTTTACTAATATTTAAAGGAGGGGTAAGAATGGAAGGAAAAAATGGGTATGCATGTTTCCAATAGGACCACTATGGTCCTATTTTGGAATAAAAAACATAACAAGTCCTATTTTGAGTTTTTGCCATAATTTTAGTCCTATTTAAAGTAATTTCTAAAATAATTTCTGCTAATACAACAAATATATTGTTACTATTTAGTTGCTACTCCTAAAATGTACTCATTTGTTAGAAATCAAAGAAATCACACTAATGTTTATGTGCAGTGAGGGCAGTTAATAACAAAGTCGAACATGGGCTAGTCTTTATTAAAAACTTTAGACGCCTATTAATTTTGTGTGATTGTTTTGAAAGAAAAATACTTTTTGAATATATAGTTTTCTAAGGCTCACAAGACCGATTGATTTCTGAAATGTCCATTACGCTAATTATTTATATACATATATAAATATCCGGAATTTATTTAATATTTTGTGTTAATAATTTATAAATTGGAATATATTTCATTCTGAATTTGCTCATATATCAAATGTATTTTTTTCCTATGAAGCATGGAAACTCTCCACGGCTCATGTTTCCACGTTTCGGAAACTCGGAAGCGTTTCGGAAACTCGAAAACTTCAAATTCCCATTTCGGGGCCGTTTCCGTAATTTAGAAAAATTTGGAAACCTGTTTCACTACGTTTCGGAAACCTTGGATTCCTATATTTCTTCTTTTTTAAAGATTTTGTGGCGGAAAATAAATTTGTTTAATAGTGACTTTGTGGTATTTCTCTGCAGCAACACTTGTTACATTTCGTAATGCAATGTATTGCTAGAAATGTATTACTCCGTACATTTTATGTTTAATTATGTACTAATATGAAATAATATCTAAATTGGAACATGTAGATTGATTTTATTATTTGATTACTAAACAAATTATATGAAAAAAACATGTGCATATGGAAAAACTTGTGTACATATATTAAAAAATATTTTTAAATATATCCTTATATTTTATAATATTTACGCGTTTCCCCCACGTTTCGTATCTTATATTTTGTAGAAATTACGTTTCTCGCGTTTCCCGTTTCACGTTTCCGTGCTACTTAGTTTTTTTCTCATCACATGTATTTAAACTTGTTTTTCTTTAAGGAATTGTAGTCTATAATATACCACGTATTGGGGTTGTTTGGAAAATGGCTTATCAACCATTTTTTAGCTTGTTTGACTGACAATAGTTGGTTGACTATGTTAAAAAGCTAAAAATGTTGTTTGGTAATCAGATTGTCCATTCGGCTTACCCATCCGAAGAAGCCCAATATTGAGAAGCTGGACCAAGCAGCGTTTATACCTCATGTCGGCTGATCCAAAAACGATTTACCCTTTATACCCTGGTATTCAACGGTTCTTTTTCTCATCTGTCTTTCGTCTTCGTCAAGTGCAAAGAAAGGTGCGTGATCATCTCTCTTGAATTTTCTTCTCTCTTTTTTCACAATTTTTGCATTATTCAATTAATTTGCATCTGCTACCCTTTTGCAGTCAGGGATCACTGCTTGTGCGTTTCTTTTGTTTCAAGTTTTAAAAGTATTTATTTTACATTGGAACATCTGTAAGAATTCATAATTTTTTGTCCGTTTGTATTTTTATATGCATTCTTTCATATATATATGTTTCTAGAAAAAGCTGGAGTATGAAATACTAGCTACTGATTCCAAAACCCAACTTTGTAACAATGAGAGTGATCTTGTTTATTTCCATTTTGAGGAGCTTTAATCAAGAATTGAAGTTGTGTTTGTATTTTCATGATTTGTTTAATGTTTGTCATTTGATTCATTATACTTTTATTTTAAAATTTAATTTATTCTTTTTACATTTCAAATAATTTTTTTTCTTAAATATTTTTCTGAAAATAAATTATAGTTTCAACATTATCACTATTAGCATTATTCAAATATTATATAATTGCTCATGTCCTTATGTGTCTTTTTACACTCAAAAAGTTGTTTCACAACAGCTAACTTTACCAAACATTTATTAATTACAATCTAACATAACCAGCCAATCAAAACAGCTAACATAACCAGCTGTGATCAAGCAGTCGTCATAACCAGCTAACAGCTAACAGCTAACAGCCGATTGCCAAACAAGACCATTATCATATGAATAATGGACTCGTGAAGTTCCAGTAGTAAAACAATAAATTAAGAACATGGGCATTATCAAGAACGCGCAATATAGTATATATCGAGTACAACATACCATCTAAAATGTTTTTTTTTTTAAATTCACGGGTTGCCTGCTTCTTGTCTGTGGCCGCCTGGCCGGTACGTCAAAAAATAAAACAAACAAATTAACAAATGTACAGCCAATCATGCTCAGATGAAAAAAAAAAAACATGCAAGCTCCCATTTTGCCCTTTTCTTCTTCCTCATTCAAATTCAATTCTTTTCGGAAATCGAAAAGTTATCTGGAGTTCGGAGTCCAGCCCTGATTTAGTGAATTAGAGACCCCATATCTCTAAAAGAGAAAAGAAAAGACAGCAAAAGGAATTCTTTTTTCAATCACTAAACCTGGGAGAAGAGGGAGCTTTCTTCATTCGTTGTTTATTACTTGTTGAAGCGGAAACCAAATGGGAGAGGAGAACACCTCAAATTCCTCTTTAAACGATTCACCCAACAATAGCAGCTGTGAGACACAAGTCATATTGAACGTGTATGATCTCACCCCTATAAACCACTACACCGTTTGGTTTGGATTTGGCGTCTTTCATTCTGGCATTGAAGGTTAGCAGATAAAGAATAAATTTTTATTATTTGTTTGTTCAAATTTTCAGCATTCTTTGTCTATTTGTTCTGATGTGCAAGAATTTTAGATCTCAATCCCCCGCTCTTCCTATTATTCTTGAATTTTAGACCAATCTTCAAGTTGCCACATTGCTTACCCCTGGTGAGTTGTGACCCGGTACAGTGGGAACATTTATGAGAAACTATTGATGCGTAATTATTGAAAAAAATGAAGCAATAATTAGTATGACAACTAGCATAAAATGAATAGAAGCCATAATTCTAGGAATGGCTCTAATGATCTAACCTTGTCAACCCATAGCTCGTGTATCTTCTGGGTATTTTTTTTCTTGTGTTTCTTTCACCATTTTCTTTTATTGCATTCTTAGAATGTAAATTAGTTATTTTGGCCCAAAATAGATACTTATAGTGAAATGAATACTAAGAGCTTTAGAGATTGGGGATACTCATATATAGTTATATTGTCATGCTTGCCTTCTAGATTGTGTAGATGCCAGTATAGTTTAATGGTTTTAGTATCAAACCTTTAGGCTCTATTTGGATGGAGGGTTTTAAGAGAAGGTCTAGTCAGTTTCTTGGTAAATAGAATGTTTATGAATTACAAAAAAAAAGTGATTGAAATGTTAAATGATCCCAACCAAATATTATGTTATTCTTTCAATTTTATAAAATCTCATATATATGTAAAGATGTAGACTAACCTCTGAAAATTCGTTTCTTTAACCCCCCCAAACTCTCCATCCAAATAAAATCTCATAGTAATGATTGTGGAGGAATGGTGTGATTGAATCCCACTATAATTCGTAAGCTCCCTAAACACATTTGCTCGAATCCCACATTACTTCATCCTTTTTATGAAGGCCTACCATATGCGACAGCTATTTCAAGTTTGTAACTCAACAGACAGTTTTTCAGAAATTTCCATATCAAAATATCAAAATTTGCCTAGTATTTACTCATTCAGTTGATTGGTTTATAACTATTTTCTCCCATTTCTTTGTTGTTTTTGCACGCGTTTTCTTTCAATTTGAAACTGTTTTCTTCCCCTCTGCCCCTATGCTCTTAATCCATGTGGAAAATTGCAAGATTAGGTGTTTACTCATTCAGTTTGAACTTTTACATGTGGAAATGTGCAAATTATAACAAAATCAGTTCATGGAAAGGAATATGGTTTTGGAGCACATGACTTCCCATTCAGCGGAGTGTTTGAAGTAGAGCCTAAGAGGTGTCCTGGTTTTATGTACAGATGTTCCATCCCACTTGGCTCTGTTAATAATTTGCCTCTCTCTCAATTCCGAACTTTTATAGAAAGTGTGGCTTCTGAGTATCATGGGGATACTTACCATCTCATCTACAAGAACTGCAACAATTTCACTGATGATATAGCTAAAAGACTCTTAGGGAAAGGGATTCCTGGATGGGTCAATCGGCTCGCAAGCCTTGGTAATCTTATCCATCTCTTCATTCTCTCTTCCCCCCCCCCCACCCCCGCTTCTATCTAGGTATGGATACCTGTCTAGGAAAAATTAATAAATTGTGTCCTAATTGGGAGTTGGATGGTTCTAACTTCTAAGTGGAATTCTCTGGGGTCTAATTGAGATAGGACCCCTAGGCGTCCCATGAGAGCCTAATGCAGTGATGTATCCCATCGTGCTTACCTAATACATTTCAATTTCACTGTGATTTTATGGAAAGAACCTAAAAACGATGTTTTACCCATCAATAAAAATCCCCATTGGGTCTGAAATTTTCAAACACCTTATTTAGTTCCGAGTGGAACACGTCATGTTTTATTACCAAACAGGGTTCTTATGTCCGGTTTGGGTTTTTTTTAGGGAGAGGAGGATAGGATAGGGAAAGTACCCCCCTTCCTCTCGTGTGGTTGAAGAAAAGGAGTGGGAGGTGTTTATATTTACCCTTCCCTTCGTTCTCTGTGTACTATCTGTGTCATTTTCGGTATTTAACTGTGATATTTTTGCAATTTTAAACTGTTAAAATGACAGGCTCTTTTTGCAATTGTCTTCTTCCTGAAAGCTTTCAAGCAACAACAGTTAAACAGCTCCCAGAGTACCATATATATACAGGTTATCTATCTTTGTATCATTATTCATTGCGATTTGCGGGTTATATGTTATCTTTTGGTGAAATCAGTTTTTCTGTTAATAAAAATACAACACCAGATGAAGATGGGAGTGGCTCTCAATCTACTCTTACGCCCCATGAGCGAACAGATTGTGATGACGGAGATCAAGATAAGCACTTGTTGTCACCCTCGAGCGAGGGTCGTGGGGTAGCTTTCCTGAAGGAGGTTCCAAGGTAACATGTTTGGGCAAATTCGAAATTTGTTGAGAATCAATACTTTCTACAGTTTGTGTACTGGCCAAAGGTGTATTGAGCAAATCATTGGTAGCAGAGTTGTCAATCCTTTTCATAGGGGTGGGGGGTTGTGTGTGTACCATTATTATTATTTGTTGAATATGCTCACTTTCTGTAAGGGAATGTGAAATTGAGTTCAGCATAATCAAAAGTTGCCTATTCTGTTGATAAGCAGAAAGACTTGTTTGGGATTTGCCGTTGCTGTTGGGGAAAAAGAAAGCCTCATTGTAAAAGCATTATTGAAAAGTACTGTAAAGAATTGGGGTTAGAGAATGATTTTGAGGATTGTAAAATAGAGGTTGAGAAGTCCCTAGTACAATAAAATATTCCTGAAAAGGAAAGTCCCTAGTTCAATACGAGCTGTTTGTATGTGTTTTGCCGAAACTGCCATGCGTTCCATTGTCATCATCATCAATTCATCATGTATTCATGTGGTCATGCCACGCTTCTGTAGGAGTGTAGGCATACTATTGAGGAAATTCAGCTCAGAAGAATGCCCTCATAGACATTTAATGGTACATGCATAAATGACAAGTTCACCTTCTAAGTCAAGTAATGTTAAGGGAAAAGGTGAGTCTAGGCATGGACTCGGGTCGGTCTGGGTTCCGGGCTGAGACTGCCTGGTCCTTGCCAAATGGTTGTGATGCTCGGCCTGACTCGCTTATTTAGGTTTCCGGACCGGTTCGGGATACCTTGTCGGTCCAGGTTCTGGGTCCTATACCAATCCCTTTATTTTTATTTTTTTTAAATCACTGATTTCGTTATTTTTTATTTTATTTTTACCAGTCTGAAATCAAAGAAAACAAATTGTTGTGCCTGGTTCAGTCCTAAAACAGGTAACCCGGGATTGGGCGCCAAACCCACTGTATAGGGCTTGTCCTTAGCCCGAATTCGAAAAAATGGATCGGGGCCAAATAGTACAATCTGGTTCCGGATCTTTTGGGCTTTTCAAATATAATTTTAAAGATATCATGTATGCATGAATGATATTTGAAAAACTTATCATAGAAAAACTGATCTAGAAAAAAAATGATCTTTTTTTTATAGAAAAACTGATCTAGAGTTGTGCTTGGTGTATCCCAAAATGGGATACCCCATTTTTACCCCCCTCATTGTGTGGTTCAAATGAGGTCACCATTTAAATGAGTTGTCATACTTAAATGAGTTGCCTCATTTGAGTCACACAATAGGATTATAGGAGGGAGTAAAAATGGGGTACCCCAAATTGCCAAAACCCCATTTTGGGGGTACCTATACTCCTATAGTATTTTTGTAAAAATAGACCTAAAAAGTTGAAAAAAATGACAACAGGGCCCATTAGCCCATATATGTACACATATAATTTGTCCATATTTTGATATTGTCATCTCCTGGATGACATGCTTTATGATTTACGAGGCTTATCCCTTAAAACAATCTTAGTATTTTCAACAACGTAATTTTTATTCCATCCATGAAATAAGTAAGGGTGTAAAATGACAAATTTACCTACTAACCCTATCCTTGCCTTGTGAGTATATATTCCAAGACTCTTCTCATCACAAAAGAGAAAAGTAAGACACAAATTTTGTGAAACAGTTTTCTCAAAAAGAGAATTGGAAGACACATAGCATCTCTTACTTTTCAACGGTAAAATGACATCCTACAGAAGTTAAGGACTTATGTCAATATATCAAATAGGGATATGGAAAAAGATACACTCGTAATTAAGGAATAACTACCCGAAAGCTACTGAAGATGTAATTGACCGCTAGGTAAGGTGTTATGTATTACGGAGTATTAATTAAAAGGCTTCATTGGGCATCCACAGATCTAAACCAATTGCCAATTTTGAAAAAAATCAGTAAATGGAAAGATGTGAATATGCTGCATACATACATGATACATCATTGTTCATTGATCATTCCTGTACATGAGTTTCCAACTACACAAGCACACCAATAGGATTCATTCCCATGAACAAAAATGCAACTAGAATGAACATTCACAACATATACACATCAATAATGCCCATAGAATAGTACTAATTGCAATTGCAACGGCCACAACTACCATGGTAATGAAACCATGGTAATGAATGAGTTACGAGTCGACTTCCATGTCGTACTACATTTAGTATTCTTCCTCATCCTCATCATCACACCCTTCAGCTCCAACTTCCTCGTAGTCCTTCTCAAGGGCAGCGAGATCCTCTCGGGCTTCTGAGAACTCCCCCTCCTCCATACCCTCACCAACGTACCAGTGAACAAAGGCACGCTTGCTATACATAAGGTCAAACTTGTGGTCAATTCGGGAGAAGACCTCAGCCACAGCAGTGTTGTTACTTATCATGCAGACTGCACGCTGCACCCGTGCAAGATCACCTCCTGGCACCATCGTTGGGGGCTGGTAGTTGATCCCACACTTGAAACCAGTAGGGCACCTGAAAAGGCCCACATATCATCAATAAATGATAAAAGAGTTGACACATGTTTTATTCCTTTGACCATCATTAAAGTCATGATGATGATGTTTTATTCCTCCGACCTCCCTTACCCCACCGTAGGTGGGGGCCTTTGCAACACTGGGGTAATGATGATGATGACGACTTTATATTGTCATTAATTGTCCCTGTCCCCAACTTTTTTCAGGATTCAATTTCTGTCCTCAACAATGCAATCTGAACTCAACTTACATATTATTCTCTTGACTTCATTTTGTTGCTTAACGTTTATTCTTTTATTAATTAAACCTGACTACGAGCAGTCAGGTCAGAGTGTCAGACTAGTTCAAATGAAACCAAAATAGTTCAAATCTGACCAGATGTGATATGTCAGACAAGAATGTTAGTCAATATCATAAGCATTGGATTCAGGCAAGACGAACCAGCTTATACTTTCCGACCCGGATAAGACCAGAAAGATTCCGATCAAATCCAAGATTGGAAAGACTCAAACCTGATCAGAACAGAAAAGACAAGAAACTTTCAAACATATCCGGAACCACTATAAAGATTCAGACTTGACCAAATCTTAATTAAAAAGTTCAGATTACAACACATTTGTCAAGCAAGGAAACAGGTCCATAACTCTCACACTTTTTGTCAATTTAGACCGAGTATAGGACTCAATTTGGTTGTCAAACTATGTAATCTGGATCCAAGTTAGCAGACCAAAACACCCTTCATATATAGAGAAAGATAAGCCTGTGAACTCAATCGAGTCTAACATGGTCAAGAACCAAATTGAATCTAAAAGAAAGTTAAGAACCAAATCGAACTACAGCTCAAACGTAAACAGTTCCTAAAGACACTAAAAATCAGGTATTGGGGGTGTTTGGCAAATGGCGTTTCAACCATAAAATGTCGGTTTGACCATTTTTAGCGTTGTCAATAAATGGAAATGTTGTTTGGTAAATAGTTGTTCGGCACTAGCGTTTTTGAACGGAACTGCTGAAATGGAAACGTTGTAAATAGGAGAGTTTTGGGTTGGCGTGTTGAAATATGGTGTTTTCTCTTTACTTTTATGTCTTAACAACTAAATTACCAAACATCTTCTGAAAACCTGCCAATTTATTCCGCTAGTCAAACTCGTCGATTGAATCCGCTATTGACAACCAACTAACATAATCCGCTATCCGCTAACCGCTAATGGCTCTAAATGCCAAACACGCCCATCAAACTACAGCTCAAACTTAAACATTTCCTCGAGAGATAATTATATGTACAAAAACACTTACCAACCAACAAACTACAGCTCAAACTTAACATTTCCTAGAGAGATAATTATATGTACAGAAATACTTACCAATCAACAAACTGAATGGTCCTCTTTGTCTTGATAGTAGCAACAGCAGCATTGACATCCTTGGGAACAACATCACCGCGATACATCAAACAACAGGCCATATATTTCCCATGTCTCGGGTCACACTTAGCCATCATGCTTGATGGTTCAAAAACTGAATTTGTGATCTCGGGAACAGACAACTGTTCGTGATAAGCTTTGGCAGACGAGATCACAGGAGCATAAGAAGAAAGCATGAAATGGATACGAGGGTAAGGTACAAGGTTAGTTTGGAACTCAGTGACATCAACATTAATCGCTCCATCAAACCTCAAAGAAGTCGTCAAAGAAGAGATGGTTTGTGATATCAAACGGTTCAGGTTTGTGTAAGTTGGCCTTTCAATGTCTAGCGATCTCCTACATATGTCATATATTGCTTCATTGTCCAAAAGCACAACCACATCTGTGTGCTCTAGGAGGGAATGTGTAGATAGGACACTGTTGTAAGGCTCAACAACAGCAGTGGACACCTACAAGTTCATAACAAATGACAAACTTTAGCAAAAGATAATCTGAATTTTGAGGATGAAAATTATTACTAACTCTGTCACACTCTCTTTGGGACACGATGAAGTGACGCGTGTTAAGAATAATGGAATTATGTAGTTGATTTTGAATTTGTAAAAGTATGCCTGAGTTTAAATCTGATGAATATTACCAAATGGGATGAAGATTGTGGTGGTATGGGATAGACATAAAAGGACAAAGATAGTTGGATGAAGGGAGCAAAAAAATCGATAGAAAGAAGTACTTTCCTCAATCTTCCAGACCTGAAATTCCGATTTCTATCCCAGATCCATCTATTCCAAGAACGTACAGTTTTTCTAAAATATATTTTCTTGTTTTACTTCATCTGTTTAATTTTTGAGATTCTTTCCCCAACCAAATGGAAATAAGATTTTCTTTACAAGAAATTTAGAAAATTTCCCAAAACATGATAATAAACCCATAAAAGCATATGGGTAATTACCTGAGGAGATGGATAGATGGTAAATCCAAGTTTCGATTTCTTTCCATAATCTACAGACAGACGCTCCAGAAGCAAGGATCCCAAACCAGAGCCTGTGCCACCACCAACAGCATTAAAGACCAAGAATCCTTGCAAACCAGTGCAATTGTCAGCTAACTTTCTCACTCTGTCAAGGCACTGATCAACAATTTCTCTCCCCACTGTAAAGAATGAAAATATGTGAAATGAATACATTAAGTTGTACTATTAATAAAAATGAACATTGTATCCTTTCTTTTGCTGCAGTATGTAGAGAGGTACCTGTATAATGTCCCCTGGCAAAGTTATTGGCTGCATCCTCCTTACCAGAAATAAGTTGCTCAGGATGAAACAGTTGCCTATATGTCCCTGTTCTCACTTCATCCACAACAGTTGGCTCAAGATCAACAAATACGGCTCTTGGTACGTGTTTGCCTGAACCAGTTTCACTGAAGAAGGTATTGAAAGAATCGTTTGAAACGCCAAATGACGTGTCACTGCAACCAAATAAGGAAGTAAACAAGTTTAACGGAGTCATTATATACGTAACACATAATTGTTCAACACAACTCAATAAATACTGCAACTGCAAATAAATTTAAACAATACGAACTATCGTGAGTA